CTTGAAAGGTAGAAGCCGTGTGATTCTCGAGGGCGGGAACAACTACTCTTCCCCTCAGCGTTCAGCCTCGCTTCGCCGTAGCACAGCTCCCTTCGAAAATGAATGTTTCTAATACACTGGTGTGCAAAACTTAAGGACGAGCTAGCTAGATGAAGTAAAATAACTTGATGTCAGCTCTGCGGACATTACATTAATTGGAAACTTATTAAATGTGTCGGTTTTCCAATTGCTCACATTGATTCAATTTTCGCATGAAATTTTCCACGTTCAGTCATTTGTTTTCCAGGTATGATATCGCAGGAGTTCCGGCGTCACATCTACAATAATCTGGGCGATTTGCTAGATTTATTCTCACTATGTGAGGCATGTATGTCGTTCATCATCTACTGCTCCATGAGTGGCCAATTTCGAAATGTTCGTGGTCGTAGTTATTATTTTTACTTATTTTTATTTTCCTATTTTTTATTTTCGCAAACATTGAAAGAGTGGATAGGCCGAAGAATCTCATTTATTTTTCCTTTTGATCTTATTTTTATCTAAATATGCCTCATTTGAGCCCAATTTTGCAGCTTTTCATGTATATAGTTATTGAAAAGTGTTATCGTAGTGTGACCATCCGGCACATTTACAAATCTCACAGTTCTCGGCCTTGAAGACAGTGAACACGATGGTTTTTGGGCGGAGCGATTTTGGTGCGTCATTGAGCGTAATTGGAGGAAGGGATTTAGGATACGGCCCTAACCAAACACCCAGCGCGCTGAGGAACCTCTTTCGTCAGTGACGTCATCAAAGCTCCCGTTCACCCTCCAGGCATCGTGTTTACTCAATCCTCAAAGGCGCGACAAGCTAACATTTTGCATCTCGATTTATTCCTCTTCGAACGAACAAGGCAAAAATATATGAATGAGGAAATTTGGGTGACCAAAAGCTCTGAAATATAAACACTGAGCCGACAATCAGCAGGAATGGCGCTGAAATTGAGAAAAGCTTTACGAGTTTGAAGGAACATGAAGCTCAGCGTAAGACGGGAACATGAATACTTAGTTCAAGAGCCCAAATGCGGCAGCGATCAGTGCTTGTGTCGTAAACTTCGTCGTGCATAGTCAATACGAGTTGTTGGGCGAAAAAGCCATGCGCATGGTGGTCAGATTTCGGCTGTATTGCTTTTGACCAACACTCGAACCCGATTAGTCTAGCCACCGCTGAATCTTTGAGAGCCTTAATGCAATTATAGTTTGACAAAAAGAGGCATAAAATTCTCAGAGGTTCGCTCAGCAAATGATTTTTAATTGCTGCTGATAAGGTACCTGAACTCTACTAGATGTGATTGTGATTGTTTCAGGAATTTCGACGTGTATTCATCCCGAAATCGGTGCATTGCTCCAAACGACCGCCCTCGGTTCGCCGACCATCAGACACTTACACAAAGATGTCTTATCTGAAGCCGAACGAAGTGTACGAGAATGGCTCATCAACCTATTCCGATTTAGATAGAAGCGGAGTCGTCAAGGTCGGTAAGCCGATATCACTTTCGTTTCAGCTGACCTAACTGACATGACTTGGACGTTCCACAAGTGTGGGAATCGTATCTCAAAACTGCATTTGTTATTCTAGCGGTTGAGTCTCTGGGTCAGTAATGGAATGCAGGACACCTCATCAGTCGAGGAACCATCGATAGGGAGGGAGCGGGAGAGGTGGGATGGGAGGAATGATGTGTTTAGCATTCTGGCAGGGTGGTGTGGAATCGACTGATAACTGATTAATAGAAAGTGATGGGTAGTGAACGGTGCGAAGATTGGAGGTAAGCTCATGAGCAACGAGCAATGGCTGGAGAGTGATGGGTGACTGTTATGGGTAATGGGTAAGCGATGGGTAGCTGGTGATGCGCGAATGATAAGTATTTATGAGCTACGGGTAGTGGGTAATGAGTAACAGATCGGATTCCCTTGTCACTTGTTAGCATCAAAGGAAAGCAAATGAATTTTCAGGTGATCATTGACCAGAGCTCAAGCCGAGCGGACGTTTCTCGCATTACACCCTCACCAGGCATTCCCTCATCGATACAGGATGAACTGACGCACGACGATGACAACGAACGTAGTCGACTGCTTGACATGAAGAATGCAATCGTAAATGGCAGTATTAAAGAGCAGCATTTTAAAAATATTTGAAAAGCAAATCTGCCATTGTTCGACAATCATGCCATCGTCCCTGACTCATGTGCCTCTGTGGAATATGCGTGTAAATGAATTCAATTTGATGTTCTAAATAGCTCCTCTATCTCTCTTATAAGCAATAAGGCTATCAAACTTCTTAGGACCCTCCCTATTCTCAAATCGTAAACATTTTTTGAGCGTATGATATTGTTCTGAGATTTCTTAACGTATGAACGGCGTCAATTTCTTCATTCTCTGTAATCGAGGATCGTAATAGTGGAACGCCCAGATGGTGGAACCTATCCATACTGAAGAATCTCTTTATGATCCTGAAAAGTTCCAATTTTGCAGCCGGATGGGAGTGCAGCGTTTGTCACCTCCGCGGCGCGCAGATGTGCCGCTCGCTCGTCGCGTACCACAGTGTCTTTCGTGGTGGGGACCGCAGCATAATTGCTTCACAAATGTGTCGCGTCAAAGTGAATCGGCGCGCGCTGGACAAACGCTGGCTATGGTCCGGCCAGATGCGCCAATCACCGCTGTGGAAGGGTTTATCATAAAACATAGGGCGGGCGACAGTCACACGATGCACTACGCGTTGAACAGATTGTATCCCCGCATGACTAGTCCATGTGAGATCAAGTGGGTTGGTCCTTTTAGGTCGCATCACGCATTCCACTTCCAACAAGGGGTCAACAGTTTTTGGATAGGTTCCTGGACTAAAGACTTTTGGCAACCTCGCAAGATGCCTTGCCTGTTCGCGTGTCGCGTCGTGTTATTGCGCAACGCCGGCTGAGCCCATGTAGCAATAGGTGTATCTGGTTAGCCGTGACGCCGTTTGTCCACCACGCACCGATCTGATGTGACGTAACAAATTTGTGACGCAACTTCGTTGTGGTCAATATCCCGTAAATACTGCGGCGCGCGAGGAGCGGTCAATTTGCGTGCCGCGATGGTCCCAATCGTGCAGTTCCTGAACTTGCCAGGATTATGAACGTTTTTTTCGAGCCTTTTTTGTTCGTTCAGTTCCACCGTCCGGAGCAACCTGGAAAACTTACATCAAAGGTTTTTAGGGCTTTCAGAACCTTCCCAGAAAATGCAAAGCGGTGATTTTTGCCACGTCACTACCTCTACTACTTAATTGCCGCGACGCAAAAATGAAAATTGTCGTATTTGCTCCTAATTACAGAATTCGGAAATTGACGCCTATTCAATATTAAGTATGCTAATACTGAGCATTTCTTGTGTGCTTTTCTTGTACTCTACAGCTCCACTCTCAGGACCATGTTTTTTTTTCTGTAGGATCTTTTGTATGAATGTTCATTGTCAGTTGTCGAACGACGTTTTTCTGTGCATATTGCCAAATTCCGGGTTGTCCGATATTCAGTAGATGGGCCTTTCCGTATATTGTTATATTTAATCCAATGATCAATGGTTCTAATCAATACGGATCAATGCTCTCTGTGAAGCTTGTCTGAACTTTGTATTCCCACATCACAAATTGCCTCGTCAATTTGTGCCAAATATTTGGCACTGTTGTATTCTTTGTTCACAAAGAGTTTTGAGCTATTTTGCTTGGCACCATCTCAACATTCATATAATAAATGTGTCTCTATGTATATTGTGGAAGTTTATCTTCTTGCAAGGGCACCGAGGTGGGACTTCTCCCTTGAGGACTTGGCCAAGAAGTTACCAAGCGATGTCGCGACGCGGCCTATTCGAATCTCATGTCTTTATAGTACGCGACGCATACCGCGTCGCACGGTGTTCCCGCAGTAAAAATTAACGCATACCATGCCATACAAGTTTGTGTGACATCATTCTGTGGTCTCTTGACCACAGCCTCATTGCCTCCCGTCCTTGTATGAAAAGGATTCTCTTGTGTGCTAAGGCAATTGCGCTGCTGTCTATCAGCAGTAAGGTCAGCGGCGACGTTGGCAAAGATTCCACGATCCCTCCGCCAGACGGAGGAGATCAGCCACGAATACGACTCCTCCTCCCCCTTTCCTC